GGGGCCACGACCAGAGGGTGGGGCCTTTGGTGCACGGGGAGGGGCCATGGCTGCAGGGTGGGGCCTCAGTTGCTCTGCCCTGGGCCTGGTACAGCGGGAGGGCCCTGCCTGGGGAGAGGGGACCTTTGCTGTAGGGGGCATGGCCTGTCGTGGTGGGGGAGGGGGCCCTTGCCGAGGTGGGTGGGGTTTGTGTTGCAAGGGGCAGGGCCCTGGCTGGGGTGGGTGGGGTCTCTGGTTCAGGAGATGGGGCCATAGCTGGGGCTCCCGTCACCACTCACCGGGCTCTGGAGCCGGCGCAGCAGGCAGTTCATCAGGAAGGATTTGCCCCGGCGCTGCTCCCCGATGATGGACACCAGGCAGACGGGGGCGGTCCCCACCCCACCCTGCTCCAGGCAGCGGCTCAGGGCCTCCTCCTCCAGGATCAGGCTGCCTTTGTCATCCAGACGAACCAGCTGCACCGGGCGCCCCGGCTCTGGCTGAGCCCCCGGCCCCTGCTGCAGGGACAGAGCAGGGTCAGAGCTCGGACCCCACCCCTGAGCCAGCCAGTCCCTGCTTCTGGATGAGAGCCCCGTGCCCCATTCCCATCCCCTGAACCAACTAGTCCCTGCCCCTCAGATCAGATCCTCTTGAGCCATTTCCACCCCCCGTGAGCCAGCCAGTCCCCTGCCCTCCAAATCAGAGGTTGCGCCCCCTAGAGAGGAAAGGCCCCGTGTCCCATTCCCCACCCCCTGATCCAGCCAGTCCCCGCCCTGGGGCCTGTGAGAGCCTGCGCCCCTTTCCCCTGATTCAGCCTGTCTGGTCTCACCAGCTCCATCTCTTCCTGCAGGGGCTCTGTGATTTTCTTCACCAGGGCTCTCAGCCGCGTGTCTGGGGTCATCCTGTCCCTGGAGCAGGGAGCCCGGCACTCGGGGCACTGGTAGCCCTGGGCCGAGACCCCGCGCCAGTGAGCCATGAGGCAGCCCTGGCAGAAGTTGTGGCTGCACTCGATGGAGACAGGGTCGTCCAAGACATCCAGGCAGATGGAGCAGGTGACGTCCTCCCGGAGTCG